TTTTAATGCCCACTTCCTCCCCCACTTCGTGAATGATCAAGCAGAATTTGGAGACCTGAAGTAATTTCCCGTTGATTTTGATTCCATATGGCTGTGTTCTAAGTGCCTTTTTAAATAGTTGATCCGAGTAAATATTGAACAATGTTGGATACAAAATTCAACCTTGTCTGTCTCCTCGTTGTTTGGAGATTTCGTCGGTCTAATTGTCTCAAATGTTTACGATAGTAGTTCGATTCCAATACAAATTTTTAATGACACGAATATCTTTATGGTCTATTTTTTATATTTTTTAGCATCTACATTAATATTGCATGCTGTACTTTATCGAATGCCGTTTAGAAATCCACGAAGCATGCAAATACGGCTTTTTTTGATCACGGCCCTATTTCCCATAGCATTTCTAAAACTAAATTGGATATTTTCGATATCTTCTTCGCATTTGGGTCTAATTCAGCTATGGAGTATTCTTAAGAAAATCTTAAGAGTGTGGCTCATTAGGCTAAATAATCGATATTCTGAGTCTGCGGGAATCACTCCAGTGTTATATACTACATTAAAAAGTTTTACTAGTATTTTTATGTTATTTATCTATTAGCTTCAGGAAATCAGTTGGTGTATCATTTAGATCACAAGCTTTCCTAATTTTAGCATTTCTTAAACGCGTTTTCTACATCTCATTTCATCATTTCTGGACAGTCAGTACAATTCTGGTAGGATTCGGTAATATTATTTCTGTCATCTTGAAACAACTCTGATATTTACAGTCGCCATTCTCTTCTCATTTCGTTCTCATTTACAATAATTTTCTTATTATTGTCAACAAGTAAGGAAACTCGTTTTTTTAAATATGTTGCTTATTTCTAATAATCTATTCTGTTTCTCTCATCCATTTCTCTTTGGCTAATTTTATCTCCCTTTTAATTCTTTTCTATAAATGTCTATATTATGTTTCAGTCTGGTTCATTCGATTTTATGTCGACATTATTCCATCAATTCCAAGATGTCTTTGTCATCCATTTATGTTTATTGATTAAGTTACTTCCATAATCATTATTGTTCTGAATCTATTTTCTTGTGGCATTTTAATGTAGATAGTATTTTAATGGGAATAAGCCACAATTAAAAGTTAAAATAAGTTTATTGACGTTTCCACTTCGGAAATCGTTCTCAACATCCAAACATTACTAAATTAAACAAATTTTGTTTGTTGTTACTTGGTGAAAAATTCTTCTAATAATTCATTTTTATCTGAGTCATTTATATTGACAATTCAGACATATTATACATTTTAAAGTAGAGAACTTTAAAATGGTGTTGCGAATATTACTGAGTTGCGTTCCTGGGACGACTTTATTGTAAGCTAGTTCATTCGATTACATGAAATCAACTTTAACTTGAGAATATCTGTCAGAAAAAAAACATAGCATGTATTTTGTCTTTAAAAAGACAACCACATGCCGTGATGACAGTAAAATTTTCCTGTTAGTGATTCCATAATAAATCATAAGGAAAAAACCAGGATTTGGTCTTAAATTTAGTCTACTCTACTCTCAATTTAATCTCTCTCTATTTAATCTACTCTCAATAAATACCAAATTCTGATTTTATATGTTTGTTATTTAAAAAACAAATGATGTATCCTCGATATGTTACTGACTAATACTGATATTTTCATATTTATTAATTTCCTCCTTTAATATGGGTAATCAGATCCTACTGCATTCTGCCGAGAAATTTGCGACACAATTGGTCTAATTTAGCATCTTTAGAGCCGTTTCTTTGATCATCTGTTTCTTTTAGGACTATACTTGAATCATTCAATTAAATCCTTTGTTCATTTTCCCATGCGTGTTTACATATTTGAGATCTATCAAATTCTGTATTTTTAAATATAAGGTTGATGTTCACTTATTCTAACATTTAATTGCTGTTTTACTTAAATAAAACTGATCGCATTCACAAGGTATTTTATAAATACAATTATTTGTTCCTTCTTGTTCATTGTTAGGTTTAGTTTTAGATAAAATAAATCTCAATGTGTTTGTTGTTTTGAATGTTGTTGAAATGTTGAATTTATTTTCTCGTATTATTCCTTATGTATGCTGTAGGATTTTTTTAAGTTGTCCTGTTCTATTCGGTCGATGATTGAAATTACCTTATTTATAAACCATAAAGAATAATCATTTTTTAATAAAAGAGGTGTTGACATATGATTTTCCTCCAAGAACCAATTTTCATTAGAACAAGCAATTTTGGCTCTAACGTATAGGATTTAATGATTTCCTTTTTATTATTGATATTGTGATTTGAGGTCAATTTTATCTAAAACTAAACCTAACAATGAACAAGAAGGAACAAAGCATTACATTTATAAAATACCTTGTGAATGCGAATATCTTGTAAAAGTCGTCTACTTTAAAATGTATAATATATGTCTGAATTGTCAATATAAATGAGTCAAATACAATTAAATTATTAGAAGAATTTTTCACCAAACAAAATTTGTTTAATTTGTTAATGCTTGTATTTTGAGAACAATTTTCGATTCCGATTTCGATTTCGATTAACTTCATTTTTAAAGTCATTCTATAGTTCCTCTGAATCTTCTAGTTGTACTCCGATACCTATTCTTTATTCTATTGTTAATTGTTTTTAATCTTATTATGCTTATATCGTCAATGTTAATTATATATTATTTTTGGTTTTTGTTATGATATTGTGATCTATTGTAATTATAAGTAGAATGTAAAAATACAACACTCAAATTGACAACAAGAATAATAGCGACAAAGATAAACGAACGAATATCTCTGCAAGAGGAACAGCAAGGATTTCGAATAGGAAGATCATGTACGATTGCAGTTTTTGTAATAAGACAAATAAAAGAAAAGTCGCTGGAATACAACAAACCAGCATATATGTATCTGATAGATTTGAAGAAAGCGTTTGATAGAGTGAGAATTCGGGTCGCGATACATTTATTATATGAAAAGGGAATATTACTGGATTTAGTAAAACCATTGAGAATATATATAAAGATAACATAGCTATGGTGAGATGTAAAGGAAAACTATCGCAACCTATCAAATATGAAACTGGCATTAGACAAGGACATTCGCTGAGCCCACTAATATTTAATCTGATAATGGACGAAATTATAAAGAAACTTAAAAAAAGAAGAGGATATAGAATGGGAGAAAAGGAAATAAGGATAATATGCTACTCCCACGACGCCATAAAAACAGCCGAAAATGAAGATGACCTACAAAGATTAATTAAAGAATTGGAAGATACGGCGCTCATATACAACATGGTGATCTCAATAGAGAAAACTAAAATGATAGTGATATCAGCTGAACCGAGACGATGTAAACTAGTCGTAAATAACAAAATAATAGATCAAGTGATGGAAACTGAATACTTGGGAATAAAATTGTCAAGCTACGGAAAAGTGGAAGAAGTACAAAAACAAGTGAACAAGCAAACAGAGCAGCAGGATGTCTCAACAACACAATCTGAAGAAACAAATACCTCACAACGGAAACGAAAACCAGGATATATAAATTAACAATAATACCGATAATGACGTACACAGCGGAAACAAGAGCAGATACGGCGAAAACACAAAAACTGCTGGAAACAACAGAAATGAAAGTCTTATAAAAAATAACAAACCAAACTCTAAGAGACAGAGTAAGAAGTGGGGAAATACGAGCTAGATCTGGTATAGAGGAAATAAATGCGTGAACCAAAAGAAGAAAAGTGGAATGGAATCAAGACATCGCAAAAATGACAGAAAATAGAATAGTATGAATAGCAAGAGACAAATCGCCAAATGGAAGAAGATCATTGGGACGACCGAGGAACAGATGGTCAGACAATGTCAATTGAGGCTAAAAACCGAAGTAAAACAGGCATTAAGCCTATTTATAAAGTAGGAAGAAGAAGAAGAAGTAAGATGTAACATATTTTTTGGAAGTGTAGGGTGAATACTTAAATAATGATCTTTTAAATTAAAGACGTCCTCGATAAGTTGGCATATACATGTTAGTACTTTTTGCGGTCTCATTCGCAATTTTAATTTCTTGAAATATTCCTTACTCCACATAAAACGGAACTGTTATATTAGATTATTTAAGATCGCTAAGTATTTTTTTATGTTAATAGCTTGTACTACTAATTTAAAATCTAAAATTATGACTATATTCGTGCATGCGTTAGATACACACCAATTGAATGCTTTTTCAATTACAAAGGGATCGGCAGTAAACATGAAACAATACCTTGAGAGTCTGCGTATTTGAATATCATTTTTATGTTAAATTAAAAGATATATTTGCAGATATGCAATGTGGATGGGAAACATAAAAACATACCTAATAGAACAAAAAACAGGATGGAAACTGAGAGCGAAGAACAATATTATGATTATGGTTTCAAATAATAAGAAAAAAACGATATAACTTGTAGGCAGTAGTAAAGACTGGGAGTAACAACAAAAACAACATTGGAAGATACTATGGACACAAATATAGCAAAATAATAAGATGAAATACCAAAGAAGAAAAACAAAACCAAAAAAATCTAATATTAGAAGACATTATGAATTGAAGGTATTAACTAGCTGAATGAGGTTTAAAAGTGAATGCATAATACGGCTATGTTTAAAAAACATATAAAAAATGTGAATTTATATGAATTGAATACAAAAAGCGAAAGTAAGACATTTAATAGGACGAAAATAAGAAAGAAAAGAAAGAAAATTCATATTGGAGAAATAAATTAAAAAGTGACAAGCAGAATACATGACATTGCAAAAAACGGAATACTAAAGAAACAAATTTCGATTTATTTTGTTTTATTTTAAAAATATTGGTCATAAATTTTTGTCTATTTTTTATTATTTAAAACAATTTATTTTCTGCTGAATTCAAAGTCTGTCAAAAGTATCCAATAGGACCAACTATAAAAGATTTCGAAATTTAAAATTATTGTCTTACCTCTATCATAAAGCGTTCTGTAGTAATTAATGTATCCTGGATCATAGCAAAAATGTTGATAGTTTTCTAGAGGCGGACCTCTATGGTCACTGGTTCTATAATAAGGTGAATTAAGTCTGTTTATAAGAGTCTGATGCAAAATACTTCTTTGGTCACTAAATCCTAGATTTACCGAACGGTGTTCATCACTTCTTTTCTCCAAAGGCGCAAAACTTGAACTATTTTCATAACTTAAGGGTACATTCTGCCTACTATCACTAGTCTGATGTATACTATGATTATTATCGAGTCTTTCCAAGGGATCTTTACTTCTTAAAATGTCGTCTATAAAAAAAGACATGGTTGATTTTTAGATAGTGTCCGGGCAACGACTAAACCGAAAAAAGCATGTTTGCGGTGTACGGACGTATTCCTGTGTGCGATATTGTGGAGATTTATCTTTTTGATAGGAAAAATATTAGTTAAGTTGGTATTTTAATTAACTATTTGTTGTGGTTAAAGAAATTTATACAGGGGTGGCTTAAAAACATAATTTTAATAATTTTATAAACATTCAGACAACATATACATATATGTATGTATATATGAAAATTACTTAGTTCTCCTACATTACATCTATATATATATATATATATATATATATATATATATATATATATATATATATATATATATATATATATATATATATATATATATAGATTTGTAATCACAGCAATTGGTCTGTATGAAATTAAACTCTATTTGTTATTTCTTAATATTTCGTCACGATTTTGTGACTTCTTCAGGAGAAAACTGTAAATTTATTATAATTATTATATGTTATCAAAATCTAAATTTTTAATCCTATAGTTGTAAGTATTGAAATATTCATTTTGTTTACATATAATAATTATAATAAATTTACAGTTTTCTCCTGAAGAAGTCACAAAATCGTGACGAAATATTGAGAAATAACAATTGTCGAGTGACACTCGACATTGAGGAGTAGGCAGATTGAGACCTCAGTGCGAGAAACAGTTCTTGTATTTATAATACAGAACACGATACTGGTACGTGTCGAGTGAGGGGAGTAGGCAGATTGAGACCCCGAACTCGAACCGAACCGTATCCCTCTTTATAATGGCTCCAAAACGGAAGCCGAAACGTCGAGCATTAAATTCTCAACGCGGTTCTTCCCGAGAACCTAGTGATTTTCATCTATATATATATATATATATATATATATATATATATATGTATATATATAGATGTCTGTATATATATATATATACATATATATATATATATATATATATATATATATATATATATATATATATATATAACAAGAAATACTGGATATTATTGACTGTCGATATAAACAAACAACACAGTTTATTAGGGATGCAGTCAGAATTATTGGCCGGGATGTTAAAAAACACTCTTTTGACTTTTTGTCGAGCTTTCGGAATATTTTTATTCCTTTTTCAAGACACTGTAAAGGACAATTATGTAATTATATGTAATAAAATTATATGTAATTATATACACCTAAGAAAGGCCTCTAGTAATGCTTGTAAAGAAAGATAACATCAATTTACACCTAATTACATATTAATTACACTGTTTTTTTCTTTCCATTCTCTGTATGAGTTAATATACACCAGTAAAACATGCCATCAATCAAGTTCTACTATTTTTAACAACAAATTTTTAAAAATTTTATGATGTATTATGTCCATAATTGTATATTTTAATGTGTGGTATTAATGTTGAGTGTTCAATGCTTATAAAATAATCTCAACGGCTAGTAAGTTACACTGAAGAATGGTGATATTATTTTTAAATACTTACATAATTGTCCTTTACAGTGTCTTGAAAAAGGAATAAAAATATTCCGAAAGCTCGACAAAAAGTCAAAAGAGTGTTTTTTTAACATCCCGGCCAATAATTCTGACTGCATCCCTAATAAACTGTGTTGTTTGTATATATATATATATATATATATATATATATATATATATATAGTTTCGCTGTAGAATTTAGTCACGAGTTTTATTATTTGATATCGGTCCATAACTCTGGTGTTTTTATTTGTTAGAGTAACGATTAGCTTTTTCCCAATGATTACCTAATCTTTTTGTCGTTTTCTTATAGTTTTTTTTTCCGCTTTAGATTGTATTTTCTACCAGTCTCTCACTGCATTTTCTTATGTCTTCCTTAATAATTTTCCTTAGTCTCTTGATGCTACTTACTTTCATTTCCTTTCTTTGTTTTAGCAATATTTTGGTTTTATTAGACCATTTACTATGTTCATTTGTTATTACACGTACGTCTCCGATTTAATTAATTTTATTATGTCTAGTTTCAGATCTAGAACAATTTTTCCTCTGATTACTCTATGGATGCTGTCTGTTTGAAATTTATTTATTACACTGAGACCTTTTATTGTAGCAATCTTGTTGGTTAGAATGAAGTAAATTTCGTTCTTAGTGGTTCTATTTCGTGCTGCCCAAGTCTATTTTCTGTTCAATTTTTTCTTAAAAAATGTATTTGCAGTAGGCATGTTTTGATAGTGTGCAAAGTAACCCAGTCTTTCTTCCCCTTCATTTCTCTCACCGACTTCATACTTTCCCACGACTTGTTCTTTGCCATTTCTCTTTCTCACTTTGGCATTAAAGTCACCAATTAAGTACTTGAAGTGACTTTTATTGTTATTTAATGCTTCAGTTATATTACTGTAGAGTTCCTCTATTTCTTCGTCAGTATGAATAATCGTTGGGGTGTATATTTGTATAATTTGTATATTGTATCTCTTTGATGGTTGTAAGGTTAAGCTAGCTACTATATCTGAGATATTATTTATTTCTACTACTCTTAATTTCTATTTCTTGTTGATTAGGAATTAAATACCACCTGTTCTATCTATTGATGATCCTCGGTAGTAGAATGTGTTTCCTGACGCTAATTCTAATAGCTCTTCATCTTTCCGTCTTACTTCGCTGATTCCTATGACGTTCCATTTTATATTTTTAGTTTCTTTTTCAGTTCTAGAAGTCTGGATTGATTTGATAACGAGCGGCAGTTCTTTGTCACTATATAAAGTGTTGTTGTTTTATTTGGGTAGCAGTTTAAACTCCGCAGATTCTTAGCACCCTCTGCCCTCCTGCCTTGATCCCAAAAGCTGCCCAGTTCAGGTTCATTTGGGCCTACGGAGAATGGAGGCCATGATTTGAGTGTGTCTTTCATGTTAGAGGTTAGAGACGTATCTTACCACGCTGCCTCAGTGTGGGTTGGTTCGCTGGTTTGTTCCGATTATAAGGAACCGAAACTCACCTTTCACCCTCCTTCTTCTGATATATAATATTTTCTCATAATACGCCATATATTGCCGGGGATTACCAACAGCGAAAATTTTTTTTGTAATATATATAATAAATAATAAATTCTACAGCGAACTATACAAAGCGCCTGAAACACTAGAAGAAGAAATCAGTAACCAAGAAGATGTACCAGAAGTCCTCCCGGAAGAAGCAGAATCCATAATTACAAACTTGAAAAGCGGTAGAGCAGCTGGAATAAATGGCTAGATGGCATAACAGTATAACTGCTTAAATACGCTGGCAGAAAAACCTGAAAAATCTTATGACATATATTAACGAACTATCTATGGTCAAGATGCATACCTACCAGACCACTGGAATACAGTAAACATAATTCTCCTTCAAAAACAATGTAGCAAAGAGGATATCAAAAACTATAGACCTATAAGTCTACTGCCCGTCATATACAAGGTATTCACAAATATCAGTAGATAAGTATGCGCTTCACTCCACGTTGACCTTTAACCTCTGACGTCACAAGCCTCGTCTGATCAAGACCTGTTCGAAATCTGACCAAGACCTGTTCAAGACCCGATCATGACCTGATCAAGACTTGTTCGAAATCTGATAAAGACCTGATAAAAACCTGATAAAGACCTGATAAACACCTGATCAAAACCTGTTAAAGACCCGATCAAGACCTGGTCGAGACCTGATCTAAAGCTGATTGATCATATGCCTACATTTTACGATGAATAAATCTTCTTCAATTGTTTGTCCTTGTTTCAGTTGTCTCAATTTACTTTGCATATTTGCATGTTTCATTATAAGTTGTCTTTTCAAATTTTTATTATTAGATTAGCAGAAAGTGTTTACAAATTGAATGTCAACTTTTCTGGATTAAACGTAAGATAAAATCCATGTTTAATTAAGTTTATAGGTAGGTACTTTTCTTTTACTCATATTTATTTTTTACTGTAGTTTGATATATAGCCGAATGTGCCCCTTCATATGGTCAAAACTACTCCTTATGTGGGGTAGTTTCGGCCAATCGTAAAAAAATTTAAAAATACAAAATATGAGCCAACCTTATGTCTAGATTTTTTTCTATTTTAAAACAAGTTTCTAATAAGTTACAGTTTCATAAAAAATATTGTTTTCTGAATTATGTAACCAGTTTTTTCAAATTGTTCTTCTCAAGGCCAATACCTATGCCGAATGTGAACCACTTTCCCCTAAAGATAATTTTATAATCAATATATTTATTTTTTCCTTTAAAAACTTCAGACCATTACCCATATGCACGCCAAAGAAGAATATAAAATTATTAATTATTGTATACAATACACAAATATACAATACAAACATTTAAAACTCACTAAATTTCATTTGCATATATCAACTGGTTTCAGAGTAATAAATAAATAAATCGTCAGTTTGTAAGAAAAATTTCAACCCCCTGTATCTGGGAAACGAAGCATTTGCAGAAATACGTTTATAATATAGCAAACTGTCATAATTTTTGTAGGGTAAAGTGGTGCAAAAACGAGACGATTTTTAAATCTTTTAAGTTTTTGTAACCAAAAAAAACCGATTTTAAGGCTTTGTCATATTGTCCTGTATAGAGAAAGCCATGTAGTATACCTCACGTTTAAAAAAATTTATAATGTTTATAATAAAGAGCGTCTTTTTTTAAAAACGGTGTCTTGTTTTTAACCACTATTTAAGGTCGATTCAGACACATCAGTCCCGTCACAGTCTCGGCGCCGAACCGGTCCTGTTTGGTCACAGAACTAACTATTAGGTAATTATCTGACAGCTGGGAAACTGTTCGTCGCCTGATGAATGTGAATGCCGGCGCCATATTTATATTAAAGAATATTTTGTATGACGGATTGTTCGGTTCGGCGCCAGGACTGTGACGAGACGTGACTGATGTGTCTGAATCGACCTTAACACCCCATATTGTAGGTATACTTTGTGTATCAATAGTTAGGGCACTGAGTTATTTTTTAAATAATTTTGGTTTTAAGGT